TCCTGGCTTTGTGAAATGTTTCAGGCTCCTAGCTCTGGCTCGTGAGTTCACTGGAAGCAGCCTCACATTCCTGTCTGGAGATTGGCATGTAACATTTCTTTCAATCCCGTACTGCCTGAGAAAAATCCCAAGCTACGTGAAAAAAATATCTGGTATTTTCTCACTGGCAAGTACTCTCCTGTCAGCCATGCTCTCCCCAAGCAGTCATGCCTGATGAGCCCTACATGCTTTCAATCGTGTTCTGCCCGTGAGTCATAAAGACCCAAGGCAGCAGCGGGGAGATACAGAAGTGAAGGCGAGCACGTGGTTCCGAGCGCTTGGCTTCACACTCCATCGTGTGACTTCACACGATGGGCTCGGCACATTCCTGCAGAAGGCACTCCCGCATTCTGTCACGGGCAACTTTCCACCACCGCCGCCCAGAAAAATGAAATGGAGCCTGGGCCTTTCCCATTTATTCATACCTGGTAGCTCTCTTCCCAAGTGACTTCCACACAACCTTTTCTCATAGTTAAATGACAGTGCCTGGTAAATTACAGTTTAGAGTTGACTCAGGAGCAGGACTATATACAAGCCAGAAGATGACGTGTGAAGAGAGTACGATTGTGGTGTAATCAGCCATTTCGTGGGTGACTTTTGGGGGTCAGTGTCATTACTTCACAGTCTCCCCTCCTTCAGTCTCTGAATTCAGGTTCATTCAGAAAATCAGCAAACCTGACCATAGATCTGAAGAGTTTTACTTTTTAGCTCTCCTTTGGGGGTCAGGCAACATGTATACTCAAAAGAGTATAGGAACATCAAATGCCACAGAGTACCCTGTTATATGACCTTGTTGTACCCTGTTCTTTGGCTTCGTAGTAACTGGCACAACTGGCTATCGTGGGCTTTTTTGTTTTGTTTTGTTTTGTTTTGTTGATTTATTTTCTTTAAATGTCTATCTTCCACTAAACTGTAATGTTCAGGAGAACAGAGGCCACGGTCGTTTACCCAGAGTCTAGAACAGCACCCTGTATGTGTAGGCACCCATATATAACCTATAAGTGAATAAAACCGATTATTGGTTAGCATCTGCTTGGTTGAAAGCAAGCCCACAGAGTTTCCTTTGAACCTCTACAGATGTCCCCTGGCAGGATTGAAGGGACACTCAAAGAGTGTTGCACTTGTCTGCTGAGACCCTCCCCGGTCCCCCGGGCACTGTGGCCCCCAGAACTCCTCTTTACCTCTCTCCTGCCAGCTGCCTGCAGACTAAGCACAAGGAGGTCCTGTGGTCAGGATCACGGTGAGGTGCGTGTCCGAGCCCCTTTTCTTCTTCCAAATATCGTTAACCTCTCCATTCAAAATTCTCTGAAAACACCTGCCATTAGATTCTCTACATATCACCCACATTATCTTCTAAGCTCTAGGTCTCCCCTTTGTTCTTTCAATGAAAATTTTAGCCTCTAGCTCATTGTTTTTCGCCACTCACTACTCTCGTTAGAATTTTTGATGCCTCAGTAACCCCTGAGATAATCCATCTTGTCCATAGTTTCCCAGTTCTTTGATCTCATTTCCAACGCTCTCGACCTCTACCCCACCTCACCTCAGTCGTCCACTCCCACTGTGATACCCTAGAGCAGGGGTCCCCAACCCCCGGGCTGCACACTGGTACCGGTCCGTGGCCTGTCAGGAACCGGGCCGCACAGCAGGGGACGAGTGGTGGATGACTGAGCAAAGCTTCATCTGTATCTGCAGCCGCCCCTCAGTGCCAGCATCACCGCCTCGGCTCCGCCTCAGATCGTCAGGCATTAGATTCTCATAGGAGCACTTGGCCCTGGTGCCGCAAAGGCTGGGAACCACTGCCCTAGACAATATAATTTGCGAGAACTGAACCTCCCTCAAAACTCTCTGCTCACCACTCACGTTTCCACCTCAGGTCTTCTAAGAACCCTTCTCTGCACCCCATGGAACCTTCTCCTATTCACCCTCTTCTCTCTTCACTGGCACAGCCTGTCTCCCCTCCCTCCCCTCCCAAACCTCCAACAGTCCTACTCTCCCTCCCTCTCAGCTGATTACTTTGCTTGAAAGCTCGCTGAAGAACTAAGAACAATCAGAGATGAACCACCTCATCCTTCCCCACCGAACTCCCCAGCTCCCCGCACCTGCAGCCATGGGCTCTGCCTCCCTTCCTTTTGAAATGGGTGCATTTCCTGTGCCCCGGGGTGAAGTCACCCCCTCCACTTGTGCTGTGGTTCCTGTTCGTTTCATTCGCACCTTGTCAGATCGATGCCTTGCTATCTTCAGAGGGAGCAGCCAAGGCATAGAACCCCAAATGTTTCAGCAAAGAAGAATTCCAGGAGGAGATCCTCCTCGGAGGTGGGGTAGCGGTTTCAGCAGAGCTGCCTCGACAGCCCCCGTTTCGTCTGCCCCTTGAGATCGTGTCCTGTATTCTGTAGCCACTACCTCGTCCTGTACTCCAAGGTACAATGTTCCCCCAAGACACTGATCCAAGTACTTCCGGAGCCAAAATCGATTTTGATTTTTTCTTTGGTATGACTGGCACAGACTAGATTTTCCCAAAGGCGTTTTACTAGAAACTAAAGAAAAATACTTTGATATGTTGGGGCCCAGCTTGTGTATAGACGACATGCATTTGTTTGTTTGTTTGTTTGTTCATTAATTCCTCAGCTTTTATCATAATAGCTCTCTGCCTGGCCCCTCCAGGAATCTGGTGGGCAAAGCGGGGAGTTGGTCCATTTGGTCAGTGATAGAGGTTGAGGACCTGTGTATTTAGGTGCATCTGGGAGAAGGCCCGCCATGCCAGCCGCTCCATTCACCCGACACATGCTTACTGATCGCACCCTCTGTGGATGGACAGTAGCTAGAGACGTGCAGAAGTGATCTGGGTTACAAATGCCTTAGATCATAAAGTATGATAGTCACAGTACATTCCCGAGTCAGGAATGTTTCAGGCTTATTTCCACATGATTTTCCATCCTCCTTGCCAAAAGCAGGTTTAAGGTAAGGCTGGAAGGACGTAGATAGATTAGATCATCTAATGCTTTGAGATGACTGTTGAAAAACACAAAACTTAGTGCATGCCCCGGAGGTCAGAAAGTCAGTACTTGTTAGAACAAGAGACGGAGGGAATTCCCGAGGTCTTGGCAGAAAATACGTTCGACCATCTGGAACTACAGTCCTGGCGTTTGCAGCGTTATATTTCACTCTGCATTAAAGAGTGAATATTGTCTAGAAGGAAAAAAAAGGAGAAGCATGATAATTAGCCCCCAATGCGGGGAGGCTTCTGAGTTAGCCTCTGAGATCATCCCTGGAAAGAAACAAGAGGCTTGAGAAATGCTCTCAGATTGCTGCTATTTGCCCCTGGAAGCCTCTGTCTGAGACCCAGAACATTGGGAGAGGGCTTGCTGATCCAGAACCATCAAACAAAATCTAAAAAACCAGAATGAAGTTTAGGTTTTAAAGGAACTTTCATCCCGCCTGGAAAATGCATCAAGTGAGAGAGAACTCTTGCCTTTATTGGTAGCTCATTAAAAGCCTAGGAGGTCCTAAACTGAGCTTCATAATTTCCCCCTTGTCATGGTATACCCTCGTGTGACATCTGGCAGAGGGTTTAGGGCGTCACTGATATGAGAGAGTCTTAATCCATATCCTCTAAACGTGAGTCAGCTCTGACAGCTGTCAGAATGCTACCTCCATCTTAGTCTGGGCACTGAACCAACATAAAGAGATGCACCGTGAGGCAATGGAGCCGTCTTTCTACCTCCGGAGCGTCCACGTTAAGAAGGGCCTTGTCGAACGAGCACGTGCAAAGGAAAATAACCAGGATGATCGGGAACTTGGAAACAAGTGGCGAAGGACACAGGGAAGGAGAGCGAGAAAGCTTGGCCCCGAAAGAGAAAAAGGAAGAAACGGTGTGATTCCATGGGTGAAGGGTTGTCAGCTGGAGAAGGGAACACACTCGTTGGTCTACGGGGCAGAGGACAGTGGAGTTTCAGGGAGGCAGGTTTAAACACACCATTGGAAAGAATTCGCTCGTTCAGATTTAGCAGTTGCGGAAAGAGTTGTCTTACGAGCTAACGGATATGAAACGATAGAAGAGAAGTGATTGTGGATGTGACAAGAGGTGGGAATTTCACCCTGGGGACAGATTTGGGCTGGGTGACTTACACGGTTCTCTCCCTCGAATTCTGAAAATTTTTTTACCCTCAAATTACTTAACTCTGGCACAGAGTCTTCAAATGAAAATGGCACTTGGAAATCCTCTTGTTTTTCTCCTTTACTTGAAAGAGAGGCGCACCCCCCCGCCCCCGCCACGCCTTGTGAGCCAAGTAAATTTGCCTGCTCAATGGGTCACGTTTGTCTGTTTTTAGAGGACATGAATGCGGTTTGCAGAATGGGTTCCCGGGATGACGTTTTGGGAGGCAGTCTGAGTTTGAATTGTGCTCTCCTACCACATTCCAGATCCCAGAGATTCCCTGTGGGCAAAAGGAAGAAGCTGATGCTTTGCTCAAAGAGAAAAGCCGTTTTTTTTTTTTTTCTGCCAGAAAGTTGGAGAGCATTTATTCCTTGAGAGAAGAGCATGACCAAATAAGCTCATGATGCCGCTTCGCATGCCAGTATTCTGTATTGAAAGTGTGTCTAGACTTCACGCTTACTTCTCCCTAATTCAGATGTTGTAACATGATGCCATGTAATGACTCAATTTTACTTTTCTATAGTGTCATAAATGATCGATTAGTTGTTTTTTGTTTTTTTTTTTAAAGAACTTTATATACGACTTCTTCAAAATATTCTGTATGGCATATGCATTCGTTCACTTATATATTAAGAAAACGTTTACTATCGTATTAAATCTGGGAATGTAGGCATGAACAAGACAGAAAATTCTCCTGTTTTTGTGCAACTTAGATTCTAAGTGAGAAGAGACAGAGAAAAAGCGAAGTACCGCAGCCACCATGCAGACAAGTGAA